CTAAATATTGACTCTCCCGGGTAGTAGAAGGCTTGGTTGGCCTGTGGCGGGAGTCGACCCGGAATTGATTTCGGAGCCGCGCGTGTGGTGAGCGCCCCCTTGCCACTGCAACCGCCTTCGCCTCATGAAGTGGAATAAGGCAACAAATACATTACAACTTATATGCAACGTATGTCAAATGCATCACCGCTACAGAGATAGGGCCTAGAAAGGGATAATGAACAGCAAAAAGGAAAAGGTAACGAACCGAGTACCACAGTAGTCCGTTAATCCTAGATGTTGATCAACGTGGCTTGTTTGGAAGCTGTAATGATCGAATAAGATAGCGTTTCTTTTTGTTTGATTTGAAGTACGAAGAAATAGACTCGATTGTGAGATCTCCAAGGTATACACTGGCCCTTCGACGGAGCAGTAATACAGTAGCAGGCTTGGGCTCGTGGATACACAGAATTGCGAACTGCTACTATGGATGCAGGGAACGAAAGACCACATGAAAGTATTTCGTGAACCAATGATTCGTGCTTTCCGCTGCACAAGCGACTGCTCTAACTCACCCCTAGAAGCGATAACCTTGCAGCGACTATCAAGGGCAAGATCAGAGGTCAGCAAAAAAACCCAGGCTAACAGTTTCTGTCACGGCTTGAACAGTTGAACATTCAATAATACTGTGGATATTAGCCTTAGCGGCAGAGTCGGACCCAGCACGCGTACCCTTTGTTTTCCTTTGCACAGTAGGAGACACCAATGTTATTTGTTAGGGAGTGTTTCTGTCAGCAGCAAACGCCATACACTTATTGCTACGAGATGAGATAAAATCTGGCAGCTCAAGTATATAAATTGAGAAGAAATGGGTAGAGAAATGATCCTGGGGAGCACTACTCGCATTCAACCTGGGTCTGGAAAGCGTAGAGCTAGGCAAACCCTAAACGGGCAGCAAGTAGCAAAAATGCTCGTAAGGAGACGACTCTTGTTAGCTCCGTCGTAGCGGATTCGCGAAAAAAAAACACTCGGCATTGACTAGTTTTGTAGTTTTCCTAAATAAAAAAGGTGATTGCAGATGGCTATGGCAGTATCTATTTCCCTTGCAATTCACTCTCGGTGTACTCGGCAACGTTCTCAATCTATGTGTTCTTGCATCCGATGAGACATCTAATGTCGCTAGTGACTTGGTAAGTCCTCTCAGTTTATTTCTTGGAATCGTTTCAGTATGATACTTATGTTCCGCATCACGTACGAAATTAAACTGGACTGCCACTTCGCTCACTTCCTAGACGTTGTCACAGTGACATAACCACACTGATTTCGCTCAACTTTGCTATCCTTTGCTTCTGATGCGTTAGCTCAACCCTGGATTTGGTATGTTTCCCTTCGAGTGCACGAGGTGCATGGTGCTTAGTGGCTCATCGCAAATGTCGATGACATTCCGGAAATGCATTGCAGGAACCAAATCTTATTACTGGTGATGTTTATTGAAAAGAGACAAAGCAAAGGAGTATCCGCGATTTTCAAGGTCATATTCAGCCATCGTGAGACGAGTGTACCGCTGTACGACTGTATCGGAACATCTTGCTGAACTGTTAAAGTTTCAGTTTGAAACCTAGTCCTGAACCCTAAAAATAAGAAAACCCATCAGCAACCGTCAAAGGATTAGCTTATAGAAAAACGTCCCCAGTCGGCAAAGGTTTTGATGGGCAAGAGGAAACTGCACCTGCCTGTCGAAGTCATATACAAAGTCAACCAGAAAAAAGTTCATTCGGTCCTGAGCCACGTATCAACGAAGTTTTTCGCAGCCTCAGAACAGGAAGTGGATATAGTAACCAGGTGGAAGATACCCAAAGATCTTCTCTATAAGCCTGGAGCACGCTGCCGCCAATCGCCTTCATGTACGCCAAAATATGAAGTCATCTCCAGTCGCGGCCTGACTGGAGAACACCTTTGGAATTCACGTCGCCTCCAAACAGCTGCGAAACTTCTTGAATGAAGTCATCCACAGATAGCTACCTGGAGGTCAGTACTCTTGATCTGCAAGACCTCCCACATCGACCAGCTACGGCAACGTCGCTACGGTCTAGGACATCATCTTCACCGTATTCGCCGAGGCGCGAGTTGATGGTATGGACCGGGGTACCTGGAAAGGGGAAGACCGATATTTTCTTTGTGTAGACACCGATGGAAGGAGCGCGCTGCGGTTACATCAAGTAACTCGAGAAGAATATCCTCCCTACATGTGGTCGCCCGTACCTTCTTGGAGACCTTGTGCTGCTACAGGTTTGGGTGCCACCACATGGAATCAAAGGTTTTTGCGAAAAACTCCCGCCTACTTCGAATGGAAGCGTTTAGTACCTGAAGAGATGTTAATATTACAGTATTTTCCCTGACCTGAATCCACTCATTACCTAGTCGGGCGGAGTTCAAGAGGGTGGTCTACGGTGGCGGAGAAATCAACGATCTCGCTCAACTCCGGTACCCACTCACTTTCGCGCGGCCGAATCTCTCGATGGCGCTCCTCCAGAAGGCTGTGGCGGAGTATCGTTATAGTATTTAATGTGCTCTTTAATATGGTAGTAAAAATGTCCGATAAAAATTTAATAAAGTGTAACTTATAGCGCCTTGAAAGTCATGGAGGCAAAATGACTTTTTTTTGCCCCCCCCTGTATAGTAGTCAACGCAGAAGTTCTAAAAAATATCTCGAAGCGTATTCAAATCGTCAGTCGACTTCCCGCTTCAAAGATGTCTACTGCTGTTTCAAGGACAGACTCCGCGCTTAACCAGCTAGTGGTAATCCTTCCTTGCCTAAGTAGTCCGTTCGCGGTCGAAGAGATTGCACCGTAAGTGACGAGGATCTTGAGTCGAACGTTGCAGAAGTTGCCAATCCGACGACGAGATTTGCCAGCAGTTCTGCGCATTGGAGCAGGTCAGTCTTCCTGCTATGTAGATCTACCCCGTCTTCCAGCTCCACCACTTAGTGCGCAGAGTGCAGAGCATTGTGCATTCCTTATGTACACATTCTACAATAAGCTTCGGTGATAAGTTTTTTCCCCAGTTTCAGTCGTCATTCTGCGAACTATGCGGAATAAACCATATGAGTCGGGGAATAGCCCTACGGCCTCAGGGTATACATTTGTCTGCAGGTAAACTAGGGAAACTGCACAAGTGGACTTTTGAGAAAGGAAATTACCTGGTTCAGCACGTTCAAGGCGGCGTGTACTCCAAGGAGTACAGCAAAACTCCCTTTTGAGCGAATCATATACTCCTGGGAATACATGCGCTCTCTCGCTTGTTTTTGCGATATTTCTCTCTTTACCCACTAGCGATTAGATCAGTCGGATGCGTGTTAGTTAGAATAGAAATGGATGAATGGTTCGGCAGCAGCCTATAACTCTTTAGGAGATTGCGCAAACCTTAGCCATATTCTTGAAACTCCCAGTAGTACAAGCGCCTTTGTTGCCGGTTTCTTGGGGAGTTTCCTCTTTCACGAGAGCAATATATGATAACAACGCACATAATACACAATTAATACTACGAGCAATTTTGGTTTCTCTTTAAAAGACTGTTTTCGAGTTGGGACTTCAACTTACTATCCAAAATCATTCTTCCATAAGTAAGGGGAGTCTTCAGGGAAATAGGAGAAATGAGCAGAATAAACAGAAAGAAAATAGCGGAAATCAAACCAAACGTCCAATATTGCTTGCGTACTTACTGGTCATTTCCTGACAAGTTTTTCCGTTCAAGCGCAAATTACATGCTAAGCTATGCATTCCTGAGATGATGAGAGTGTGGTTGCGCCCTTTATTCAAAGGCACGGTTCGCGATCAGGTATCGAAGTTGAAAATATGGCGTCAGGAGGTTAAAGATGTCCGGATGAAGCAACCTTGACTTAGGGTATTCCGCGCAAAAAAATTCTATGGGAGAGAGGCGGTGTGTGCAATAGAGTTTCAGTGCCCCCCCCCTCTTTTGCCGATGGCTCCGCCCGCCAGACCCTGGCCTCCAATGCCAGTTCACAGTGAAAAATCAAACGAGGAAAAAGCATGATAATCGTCACTGACGTAGAAATCCTATCGCGAATCAGCTGTGCGTATCGAGGTGCGTAGTTTTGGAGATAGAGTTGATTGGGCACGTACAAACTGGGATCGAAATGGGGTTCTATCTAGGGCAGGTGGCATGTTTTTTGTGCTTTTTTGTTTACAGTCGAGTTACTCAACTCTCTATATGAACCCTTAATCCACCACCTGAAGAGTGGCGAAATCGGTGTTCTGCCTTTGATTGCATTATAATTTGTATATAATTTCTAGTGAAAATGTGCTCCGTCCAATTCCGTTCAACCTCAGAAATTGCTAAAAAACCTACTTTCTCTTCCACAAATTGCATGAAAACCTGTCTGAAGAGAAAAATGTAGTAGAATGTCAGAAAAAAACGAAACACGGAAAGTTCTACATATAACGACAAACGGAAGGTCTTTAGTGTTTGCCGTCTGCCGCGAACGCGCCGAACAGCAAATGGGAGTTTTTGGCGAAATGGCGTCGCCGTGAACGTGTTAATGGCGGTGGTTTGCTATTCTGCTTAGTGGAGAGTCACTCAGCAACTACAAGTTCATAACAATCACTTTATTTGTCCCTACGCAGTACTCTACTCAACCACACAAAGCGGGAGTTGTCGAAGGAATGGTGCCCAGAGCAATATAACTTTATCAAGCGCGACGAATTGGTTATTTCGAAAGTTGCCGAAATTCTTTGCAGTGTCATATTTACAATCATTACCCATAGTTTAAATCTGTTTGCCATCATTAAAGCACGGGTGATTCGTTAGCTTTCCCAAGCACTGTATATGTAGCGAATACAAGTGAAGCCATTCGCTGTTAGAAAAAGGTTGGTAAACGAGTCTCTAGTGGCCTTGTGAGCATTTGTTTTGTTCATTCATTCTAATGTTTGCAAATATTCGTCAATGAAACCTTCATTCAGCTCTCCGCGGTCTCATTTTGTGACTTAGCCTTTCTTCTGGTCATGCTACCACATGCTCTTTCATCATATGATATGCTAGCGTTCAACGACAACTTCCGATTCTTTTATCTCAAAAGTAAACAGCATATCGCAGCCGTAGCCAACTGGATGAGCGCTGCTGCTATCTGGTGAGTTCCCACTTAAAGAATATATTTTCTCTTCGAAGATAAAATCATTTAGGTTGATTCTAGCTGTTTCTGTTGAGCGTTTCTTGATAATTCGATCACCACTGCGATCAAAACTCTATTGGCAGCGGGGGAAGATGGTACTTGTGCTGAGCTCAATCTTCTTCGCAACTGGCAAGCTTTTTTTATTTACGGCCTGGGAAAGGACCATGTGGCATTGATGGCCACGCGCGGCGCTCTCTCCAGACACTTTCGTTGAGACAACCCCGCGCATGCCGGTCAGTAATAGCGAAAAACAAAAATGAAAGTGTGGGTGGTCAGTGGCCTAAAAGTTAAGTAAAGAGCGAAAGAATAAGCGGGAACCCCTAAACAAGACCTTCTTCGCTAGAAAAATACTGCGAACTTACTGATCATGCCAGGGAATTCATAGAGTCGTCGCCTCTGTGCATACATAATCCCGGTCGTTTCTTGCCATCCTCCAGCAACTGATAGCCAAACAATCCTCGGAAAATAGAACGATAATGAAGGTCAGGAGTATTTGTAACGCAAAGTGGGTTTGGAAGAGGCAATTACCGTAATCCAACGAACTATTGCACTAGTAGAAATGCATCAACGGTGAATTGGAACTGCGTCAAAACGAGGCAGAAATGCTGACAGATAAATGGTATGCCTACGACTTGCGACACACTCGCCACTCACGCTGGATTCGCGGAAGGGGGGATTTCTGGAACTGCGGACCAGACTACATGGGCAGATCTCATAGATTGATCCAGCGCGAAGTCCGTTTTGCTTCCCTGTTCCGGAACTATTACTTCCACAAAGAGTGTTGCAGCATGAGCTTAATCAGAAACGGGTCAGAATCCTTAGGAAAACCCTAATTGTCAGAATTTTCAGGAAAACCCTAATTCTAAAGTTTTCTTTCTCCGAACGGTGGAAGGATCTGTGCATGCCCCCTGATGGGAAAAAACATGATCTTTCCTTATGTCGGCGGTGAGGGTCTTATGAACGAGCTTACTCCCACTCCTGGCGTCATACCAAAGGATGGATAAGTTAATATAGATAAGCAAGGAGATAAGGTCGCTTCAAATGTATGTATTAGGATTTCAGTAGAAGCTGACGATGATGATAATAGTATCAGCAACTACCCCTCTCCTGATGCTGCGATGATCGGGGGCTGGAGACGCGGTAAGGGGCCGAGTCGCTGCTCTGCAGGGCCTCGCTGAGGGTCGGTCACGCTTGCCTAAACTCCTCCACCGCGTCCCATCCTGAATTATTCAACTTACTTCCCTTACATAGCAGGATCGCGGAAGGGTGAGTGCTGTCTTCACTGATGCCCGACTAAGAGTTATAATCCACTCAAAAACATGAGAGAAAGCGGTCACTCTAAGGCAGTGGAAATTTGTGGCGATTTTTCAGGATTGCTCACTCTTTATCACCATTTCGAGTATGACTGCACACTGATGGAGTTTTGCAATGGTAGCCAACTTATAGACTTTTGCTATTATGCGGGCGAGAAACACCCCAGAACGTTTCTTAAGAAAGAACTGGTGAGAGGGATCTCCTAAAATTCCTCCAGATCGATCAGCCGCAGAATTTTGATTTCAGATTCTTCCTAGCGAGGTTAAAAAGGTCTACATGCGGGTCATGACCATATTCAATGCACTTCTGGTAAGTTTAATCAGATCAGGAATCATACAGTTGGTTTTGTCGGAGCTTGGCCTGCACAGTTTTGTAGAATAGTTTGTTAGATCAGTTTCTATTCCATCCCGTCAAACAATATAGTCCGAGCAACGCCCACCCGTAGAAATATGGTCCGAGCAACGCCCGCTCGTAGTGCCCTGATGGCCAGTAGGAACGAAATCTAATTTTCATACGATAGCTCCCCTTGGCAGGATGACTTCTCTCGACATGTCTGCAGTCTTTAGCTGTAGCAAGTCTTGGCGCAGTTTGACGACGGGGGTATTTTGTACTTTCACTGCTTCACTACTTCCGGTTTACAAGTCTCACTCTGGTGAAACTTGTGAACTCTTGTGAAGCTGGAGCAAGCTCGTCTAGCCACCATGGTAAAACATGAACTCAAGAAAAGGCTATCTAGATGGGTCGACACATCGATGGGAAGCAAAATGCCCCCGTCGCCAAACTGCGCCGCAAGACTTCGAAAAAGTAATGGGTATTGTATTTAACATTACCAGTGTAAGAACTTGTGCTTGAATACAATTTTACTCTCATGCCATCTTGTGGATCATAGTCTTTGCAATGCGAGTTTCA